GGGGGGGGGGGGGAGCCGCCAACCTCGAACTTAAAACTTACACTCACTATTTTCTTCGAAAACATACGTGAGTTCCACAAAATCTTACATGCTGAAAAAAATTCTGATCGAATAGGAATATTCAAGCGAAACTATTTTCTTAGAAACGAATAAAAAATTCAAAGTCTCTTCCGAATTTCTAGAAAAAGTTTTTTTTCAATTTCATTTTGCTAAAAAATCTCATCATATATGTAACTCCTGTCATAGAATCTATCCTAAAGTTGTCATTAACTGATAGAAATATTCACTAAGTACATTTTAATTAATTAATTTTAATAATCAATTGAAAAAGTGAACATTTTTACATCTAATATCTATGCTAAAGAACTTATTGAGAATAATAATTTTTGTAAAAAAGAAAAATCAAAGAAATTCATTGAAATATAGAATAATCTATTTTATTTTTCTTCTTCTTAACTTTAGGATGCTATTGCTAGTTTTAAAAGTGGTAAATCATTAACAATAACTAGACAACAAGATAATGTATGTACACGAAATCAAATGATTAATTTACTTGCTTCATCAAATCGTTATGGTTATATATTTTATGCTACGGAAAATGATGGTCTTGCAATAATATCATCAAAATATATTGATCAACAATCATCTTATTTAAATAAATCATCTGATGATGATGATGATGATGATAATGAAAATCAAAATCTTGAACAAAATCCAATTGTTTATCGATCATATATGCCATCTCAAATGATGAATAAAAATTCTTCAATTATTCCATATTGGTTATCATTAAATTCAGATGATTCAATTCTTGCTATTATTCTTTTACAATTAAATACAAATTCATGGTATATTATTTTATATGATGTTGTTAAATTAATTCAAATGGTAATTAGAATAATAGAAAAAACAAGAATCATATGTTTGTTTTTTTTTTTGTTCTGTTTATATATTTTTAGCCGGAATCAATACCAATTTGTTCACCTATTTATTTATCAAGTGATTCTATTGGTAATACAATTCAATATTTTACATGGAATCCAGCTAGTACAAATTCAAATATGTTTGCTTATATTGATGGAAATGGATCTGTTTCAACATATGAAATTGATCAAAATTTAAAACAATTAAAAATATTAGGCAAATGTGATGCAAATGATGATAATTCATCAAGTATATAAAATTCTATTTTTTAATGTTGTATATTTATGATTATTTTTGTTTTTGTTCTATAGTTTGTTGGAGTCCAAGAGGAAAACAAATTGTTGTTGTTAAATATTCTGGTGCTTTAGAATTATATGAACCAAATATGCTATTAAAAAAACAATATCAAGCAGCTACGATTAATTCAACATTTCCTCCATGTATTAGTGTACTTTGGCTTTCGACACATCAATTTTTACTTGGTTTTTCTGAAAATATTCCAGATGAAAATACAAATGAAAATTCATTTTTTCATATTATGGTTACTTATGATAAAGTAAGAATAGATTACTTTAAAAAATGAAATTTTATTAATTTTATTTTTGAAAGGATCAAAATTCTAAAACACAAATTTATAATGATCTTTTTTTTGATGCTTATGATACTTCAACGAATATTAATCCACAATATTTCTATGTACGACTAAATGAAGGGTATAAAAAAATTTATTTATATGTAAATTTTGTTTTATTTATTGAAATTATTTAGTAAAATTATCATATGTGGTCTTACGAATTCATTAAAAATTAATGTACTTGGTTCAGATGAACTCAATCAGGTTTGTATATATATATTGTTTGATTTCTCTAACGAATTTATTATTTTATATGTGTATAGAACAGAAATTATTGATATGAGTTTATAGGAATAGATATAATTGTAACCGCTTGATCTTGTTTATATTTTATGAACATTTATCAGATATATTTAAGTTTGTGATTAAAGTCTTGAAAATTCTATTCTGTTTTCTCTTCTGAGATAATAACAATTATCAGATATCATTCGATCTGATATGATGAATGTAAATAGATCTTTACAAGATATTTTCACACTTATCAAAGTGCAAAATTTTATTTTAGAATATTGCCTAAAATACTTATTTAAAAACTTCAATGAAAATGATGATGTCTTTTCTCAATTTTCGAAAATACATTTATCTGCCTCTAATATAAATTAGATCAAACAGTAATAACATTTCAATCGTAGGCTTTGAACCCTAATTATTGTAGATTTTTTTTACAAGAGAAGTCTTCGAACAGACTAATCTTGAGATTATTCGTATCATATAGATTCCAATTAGATCTAAATACTCGGACAGTAACTCCGATTCTTATCTTATTATTACCAAAATAATGTATTTTTTCATATAATGCCATAGTTCATTTCAAATATTTTCGTTGTTCCTACTCTGAGATACCCAGATCAATGATTCCGGTGAACGGATGCCGCAGGAAAACACGGAAACATGAAAGCAGTATTCCGGCCGGTTCCTGCTGGAAAGCACAGGAAGTTGGTCGGAATCTACCGGAAAAAATCCCAAAAAATTTCCGACGGGAATACTGCTTCCATGTTCCGGCGGTTTCCCGCCGTACGTCTTTGACCTGAGTATAGCTATGACGAAACCTTGTCATTTACATTGCTCAAATACAACTGACAGATCCGATGTTCTCATTTCCACATAGTAGAAACTCAAAAGATCTGAGACTTTTACGATAAACTACTCACGTTAAAACCTATCTTTATTGCAAAATTTTAAAATAGGACTTTATTTCCTAATGTTTCTAGGGGGGAACCATGGCATTCGCTTATAAAAATACTGTATAGATGTAGTATTTCTACAGTAACAAACTAAATAATCCGAATTCTTATCAGAATATTTATAACTCATTAGAATCTACATCATACACATAGTCCGAAACCCAACGCGATTAATCAGCTGATGAACTTCTCATGTCCAGGAGAAAATAATCGATCTAAGTTATATCTTTTTTTGAAACATAAATATCTCAAAATGAATACAATACAATAATCTCTCTATTATTAACAACAGTAACTACATCATATTTCACATTTTAATCATACAAGAAACTCGATGCTATTCTTACCGCACACACTCTAGCATAGACTTAAAAATAATTAATCAATGAAAAGACAAAACTCTAATAATTTATATGAATATGTAAAAAGAAAAAAAAATACTTAAGTTATTCTTTTGTTTCGATAATCTATTAATTATTTTATTCAAATAGAAAAATTATTTAAAAGAAGAAAAAAAAAGTTTATTTTGCAAAAATCTTTGTTTAAATCTTATGATAAATATCATATGTTTACAAATACAAAAAAACGCATAATAACAACAACAATAATAAAAAAATGTAAATAATAAGAAAAAATTGAATATAAAGATATAGATAATGATGATATAGATTTTGTTTTTGCTTGTAAATGAAATAAATTAATATTTGTTTGTTTTTCTTGACATAAATTTTCACATTGATTTAATGATAATGAACAATTTAAATAATTATCTAATTCATATAAATTAATATATTTATTTTCTAATGTATTATTATTATTATTAATAATACACATTTGATTTATTTTAAATAAACGATTTATATTTATATTATCATATCGTTGTAAATGAAATATATTCATTAATTGACAATTACATTGTAATTTTATTTGATTATCTTGTATTATTTGTAAATATGGATAATTAATTAATATACAATTATCTAATGGTGATATATATTTATGTTTAATATTAATTGATAAACGTTGTAAATTTTCAATACCACAAAAAGCATTTTTATCTATTTTATTTAATGGATTATTTGTTAATGTTAAATGACGAAGTTTAGGTACATATTTAAATGTATATTCATTTATTTGTTCAATTAAATTTGAACTTAAATCAATATCATCAATTGTTTTTGATTGTAAATTTTCAATTATTTTTAATTGATTATGTTCAAATAATATATATTTTAAATTTAATAAATTTTTTAATGAATATATTAATGTTTGTGTATGAAATATATCAGGTAAATAACGTATAAGTAAACGTTCAAGTGATATTAAATAATCAATTGGTATTAAATTTGTTTGATGTGTATTTGTTAAACTTAAATATGTTAAATATTTTCCAATATTTTTAATATTATAATAACGATAATTATCAATATAAATATTAATTAATTCTAAACGATGTATATATGGTAATTGTTCTAATAATAATTCAAAATTTAATTTATATTTATGATAATAATGTATATTTTTTAATGTTAATGTTTTTAATTTATAAAATGAATTTATTGAAAATATATCTTGTAAATTTTCATTTGAAGTTTTTAATGATAATATTGTTGAATTTTCAATAAGAAATTTTTCTAAATATTTTATATTTAAAAATGTTTGATCATTTATATTAAATAAATTACAATGACGTATACGTATTATATTTATAGTTAAATTCATAAATGTTTGATTTATAAAATTTAAATCATTTAAACATAATTCAAATTCAATTGTATGATAATATAAATTTATATAAAAATTTGGTATTATTGATAAATTTAAACATTTTAATGATATTGATAATTGTTCATTATTATGTTCTTCACATTCACATGATGGAATATCTTGTAATGGATAATATTTTGAACATATTGATGATAATATTATATGAATATTTAATAGAATAAGAAGAAATATTAAGAAATAATTCATTTTTAAATACATCTAAAAAATAGAATATAATTTATTTCATAGATTAATATTCATAATTAGTTATGATTTTCTTTTACGTCTTGAAATGAATTTTTATAATGTTAGAATAGAAAATATTGCAGATTCTAAGTGTCATGTATATCTTAATAAGTAATGTTTTACCTCTGCAAAAATCGAATAGAATCTTCCAGTGCTTAAAATTCCTGCTTCGGAAAAGAAAAATCTGAATAAAACATTATTAATAAATTATGAATACTCTGAGAAGAGTTTGAGCTTATTACTATGAAGATATTACTTTTCTAAATCACTAGAACCCATCAAATTCGAGATCGACCTAATGAGCATTTAACCTTAAGGGTACCCCCCCCCTCTTTTTTGACCATTTCTAGTTCTCAAAGAGGGTACAATCGATTCGCCTGAAATTTTTACCACAGTTAGAGCATCTAAAATAAGTTTTAAAAAGGTTTTCTGCGATGTCTTTGGAAAAACTCTAGTTTTCCATAGGTCCGCATCGGGCCACATTACGACCCCCATTAAATTTTATTCGATTGCGCTGAAAATTTTTTTGGAGATACCTAAGACTACATCTCAAAAGTAGTTTTGAGCTTTTCTAAAAATCTCGCTTTCTTTTCTTTTTATGAGAGAGAAATACCGAAAGATTCGGATCTTGGCGTTCACAACCCTATAGATCTGGATAGGAAGGTCCAAAACGGAAACAGCTGATTCTACCTCTGGAGAATACTTCTAAGTATCTGTGATAAAAATTTCAGTCCGATCGGACAAAGTTAGAGGGGGTCATAAGCAGACTCGATTGAGAGAACTGTAATTTTGCGTTACGCTAAGTAAAGGGAAAAAATTTCTTTAATTCAGTAACTCTGTAATAGTAAGGTGTTTAGAGTTGAATGATCTCTTTAATTGCACATAACACTTGAGGCTATCATACCTTTTGCCTAACTCAAAATCGAGTTTTTGATCGAAAAAGAGGAGGGTGGGGGTACCCTTAAACTATTCTTGTAAAGATCTGCATCTATTTAAAGATTCAAATCGAAATTCGAAGATCAATGAGTATCAGAGCATTGAGTTATAAAGAAAAAAAATTCCATTATCTTCGTAGGAATAAGCTAAGGACACACACTTTTCTAAAGATATTCATTGCTTATTAGACTCTACATGATGTGCGCATAGTCTTAACTCAATAATAACTAATCCATTAAGGAAACTTCCCTGATGAGATTGAAAATTAGCTCTATTGATTTTTTTTTCTTCTTCTATGTAATGAATATCTAAGAAAGAAAATTCAAGTAATTTAATGGATTGAAGTTAATAATGTGTGGTGCGAACTTTCAGTCTCGATCACGAAAAAGAGAAATTTTTTTTTCAGAATAAGACTCGAACTATGAAGAAAAGTTGTTAACGCACAATCCTTATGGGATTAATATGTGAAACATGATGTAACTACTGTTGTTAATTGGTAGAAGATTGATTTATTCGATCTTGTTCACTATCGTTTTACTTAATCCTCGAAAAAAAAAATGTAATAAAAAAGTAAATCATATATTATTACGAAACTCTTTGATCGTATATCACAGTTTGAAAGGACTCCTAAACTTTTACTTCCTATAAAAAATGACTAACTAGAGAATAAATTCGAGTATATGAAGAACTGTATTAAGTGATAAATTACTTATTGAAATAAATCTTATTTCATTATGTAGACTCTTCTATAGACCAAGTCAATTTTCAAGAGGATAGAAGTATGATATTTTATTGAAAAATAAAAAGGTTTCCTAAAAATGATCGACATTGAACAACAAAAGAAAGTATTGAAACAATCAAAACATTACTTTAATAATCTACGGAAATGAACGCTTTTTCTTTTTCTTCTTACCTATATCTTCTTTTGAACTTAAACCGTCGGTTACAATTTATATTGTTCTTTCGTCAACGAAAAATATCTTCTTTTGTTTAGCTTATAGAAGAAAATCATTTGATATTTTGTACTTTTTTTTTTTGTTTATATGCCATATTGATAAAAATGTTTAGTCCAGATTTATCGATAAGAACGTATAGTATATGAAGAAATGTATTGTTCCTATAATATAGTAAAGAAGCCAATCTATGTATATGTGTATATATACACATATATATCACTATTCAATAGAGTTGAACTTTACCATTATAATAGTATGATGTCTTAAAACAATCTTACTTAACTAAATAATTATTTCAGTAAAAACGTTTTTTTTAATATATATATATAACATAACATGATTTATTTGATGATCTCTATTATCATTTATGACTTTTTTTTTTAAGTATCAATTACCAAAAAAAGTCTTCTTACCAGTAAAATAACATTTGTCTTAATCAAATACTTAATTTTATAATTAAATAAAACTATCGGAAGTTGACATAAATAGAATATTAAATAATATTCATTATCATTTTTATTCATTAATCATTGAATAAAGACACAAAAAAAAAGAAGGAATGCTTAGAAAGTATTTTGTATATTTTCATTGTTATCGGAGACTAACTATCCTATGGTTGATTGCCAATTGATCTTGTTAATGTACTCGTTCGGATGTATTGTTTAAGAGAAAAAAAACTTATATTCGATCGTCTACCGGAACTGTTGATCTTTTTCTCTCTCTGTTTGAATAAGAGAGAATACATATATATTCATTCTTCTATGCTCTTTCTCGTAAGACCATCATCTCTTCAATCGTATCATAGTCGTGGTTATTTCTCTCGCTCATCTTATTTTTATTCGTCTGATAATCAGCTTCACATTTATTGAGGCTATTTTTTTTCCTCTTTTTCTCTATAGCACTTTTTTTTTGTGTTTCTGCCCTATATATTAAAGAAAAGAGAAATATGCTAAGAAACGGGAAGTAGGAGGCGACTATTGGTCAATATAGTATCCATTTCAAATGCTCTTTTATGTATATATATATATATACATGTGAGGCATAAGTAATCAAAATGCATATGTATGGCAATAGATTCTCGTTTTTTCTTTTTTTTTTGTCCTACAACATGCTATTGTTAGTTAGATAGACAGATGGGGACATACGAATTGAAAGAAAAATATAAAAAAAAGGTAAAATAATCAAGTCGACTATGAATTTATGTAGACTTGAGATAAAGTCATCATTCATCAACTATTATTCAAAAAGATAATGTATGTTTATATAGATGTATTACTATACTTGCTCTTCTATCTTATTGAATTAGTATTGAAATGATAAGATGTTCAAAATGAAATTATATATATATATATATAAGATGTAGAATGTGAACTAAGAGAGAAAGAAACCATAATAGTTCCATTATAAAAATGAAAAAAATAATTCATTAAAGTAAATGTATACGACCGGACATAGCAAACAACTTACCATCATAGTGCTACTTTTCTTTCATAAGATGTGCATTTGTATGAGGTGGAGTGTCTGTTTAATGTTCACTTTTTTTTCTTTTTCTCTTCTTTCTTTATCCTCTAATTCTTGCTCTCTCTTTCGGTCTCTCACATATATATATATATATACTGCTAACCACATTTTTAAGAATAATGCCATTTTCTTTCGATCAATACGAACCGGACAAGTGTCCCATTCTTGTCGTTATAGTATGCGTCTAGTTATATATATATAAATGTATATATTTGTATGTATGTCGATGTGATGATGCAATAGTGTGACTAATGGATTGAACAGGATGACTAAATGAAACATGAAAGATGTGCGAGCATGTCTGGTCGAAGAAAAACTCTTGATGAAAGAAAAATCTATTTATACCAAGGATATATCTTACATCTACTTAAGACAAATTATCTCTTCTTCTCACCATTAAAACTACAAAATACGTAATCTCACTTATGGATATAAACACACGCATTTGTTACTGTACAAAAAAAAAATCCTAATGAAAGAGTTTATGCCGTTGCTATCTTTTTCTCTCTCTCTCTCTTTTTCTCTTTCACATTCTATGTATATATATATATGTCTAATTCTTTTGTTTGACAAAAGGCAATTGAAGCTTGATGGTGTAATCAAGTTCATCTATTTTTTGCTTAAATGAATTCATTTTCTCAAATAAATTTACTGTCAATCAAATGTAATTGATAATAATAATCAACAATGATCATTAACTAACAAGTATAACATATTATATGTCCTTGTTGATTGGACCATTCACAAACGAAGAAGAAGAAAAGACTTACGTAATTCATACATAAATATTTTTGTAGTTATAATGATAGTGTAAAGCATTCAAGCTCATTTTTTCTCTTACTTGTTATTCTCATATATATAAACAATGAATAATGATGATCTTGTTAATATGGTCAAGATGTATAATTATGTGTACCTTGAAATAAGATAGAGAACTGATTGAACAGTAATAAATATGTAAGAAAACGAAAAAAAAAAGTAATGAGAATGGATATAAGATAGAAAAAAAAAAGTGATAGGAAGGGGGAAAAAAAAAAGAAGTTGAATATATTCATTCGTTCATTCAACACTCTCTTTTCATCAATACTCATCACTCACTTGCCCTTGACCGATAGTCGTTCATTTAGAACTCTTTTCTGTTTTCTGTTTTTTTTTTTTTTTTTTCAGTAGAAATTCGATGCCATTTATAAAATACTAACGATCATTGCCGTTGTTCACATAATCAAACGAATAGAAAAAAAAAAAAACAGATTATTCGAAAATGTCCGAATCCATTTTTTGAAAAGTTTTAATCGATACGAATAAATTAACATGATACCCTAACACTATCATCATCATTACTATGTCCGAGAACATATTACTACTCGGCAGGTGATAGTCTGAACGCTGCTTAATAAGGCATTCATCTCAAGTTACATATATATATATATATGTGTGTGTATGTGTGCACATGCGGTGCGATACTATTTACCTTGAATAAGATGGTTATATAGATTGATATATACGGAGTTTGAACAGCATGAATACTTGAACTGTCTTCGTCCGATTTACTAATTGAAATGTTCAAGTTGATCGAACATATATATTGTATACAATCTTTTTATAGATACGTCACATTTCATGGTCAACTCATAGATATCTAACGTAATAGTGTCATCTGATTAAGGCAAACACAGTTGGTTCCTTTTTTCTCTATCTTAGTTATGTTTCAATGAATATATAAGAAAAATCTTTTAAGTTAATAATAATTATGAAGCTAAAACAATTCGTAACTGTTATATGATCGAGACAATTTTCATTCAAGCATGTACCAGATGTGTTTAACAACGCCCGAGAGACCATGACACAAGTGCGGTTAGTTTCTATTTATCATAGAAAGAGTTCAAAGTTAATGATTAATTTTCTCACGCATTGGAACCATCTGTCAAACCAAAAAAAAAAAAAAAGGAAAAAGAGAAGGCAAAAATATAATAAGAACATAAATTTATCGAAATCTTGATAAGGAAACAAAAAAAAACTGTATAAAGATGAACATGCGATTATCATGAGAAAAGGAAATGGATAATGACTATTATGATTATTATCATTAAGATCAAAAAAACAAAAGAAAAGAAACGGATTGAAAACTTCTATCAATGTCTATATGTATGTATTCTATTTTATTTTTTACAGAATTCTCTTGATATATGGACATTTGCTGATCAATATCGTGCTACTGTTAAAAGTGCAACGAATAGTAATAATGATCGTCCAATTTTAACTGGTATGGCTATTGGACTTAATTCAACATTAACAATATCTGATGGTCATACAAAATTACCTTCATGTCCAATATTACTTCTTTCTAATAGTGATGGTCTTTTACAAGTCTATTATTTTATTCATAAAAGTTCATCATCATTATGTCGTACACCTGAAGTTATTAAACAAAATCAAACATTACAATCATCAACAAATATTAATTTGGGAATGATATTACCATCAGTATCATTATCACAAACATTACCTTTTGGTTCAGTTCTATCAACAACTGCAGCGCGTAAGGTTTTTTTCTTCTTCTTCTTCTTCTATGTATATTCGTGTGAGAATAAGATTATTTATTATATTGTTGCCCTATCTTTGTTAGTTTCAGGGGAATGTCGAGAAAATAACAACAACAATCTGTTAGACGAACATGATCATCATTATGAAAGAAGAAAGAGATTATGTAATATATCTATACGGCATGGATTTTTTTTAGTGATGAGTCGAGTGTCAGATAACAATCGCATAAGAGAAAAATGAAGAAGAAAGAACATTATCTAATGATGAACAGAAAGTTCAAGTAACAACAGCAATCATCTAAAAGATTATATTAGTCTTCTCTATATAGACAGATAATAATATGAACCATTTATCTAATAGAATATATAATATCTTTTGATAAATAATAGTTCATATGAAAAAAAGATCTTACCTAAAATTTTCCAATAAGAATAAATTTATTCTAGTGGTTTTCTTTTTTTTGTTTTATCCACTCTTTTCTAGATCATGCAATGTTAAGGAAAAGAAAATTACGATTGTTTTTTTATTATTTCGAAATGAATAAATGTCACTTGAGATAGATCGTATGACATTCATATAATATTAATTAAATTAAATATTCTCATCTATCAACCTTGTAAAATATATTCGCCACTTATTTTTATTTTATTTCTCATGAGATTAGTTCAAAATTTTTTTTTTTCTAGTAAACAAGTTTTTTTTGTTTTTTTTTAATTTTATAGCATCATCAACTAATACATTTTCATTTTCAAATGTTGGATCTACATCATTAACTATAACACCTATAAGTTCTCAACCAAAAGAAGAAATTACTCATAATATTTTAAATTCTAATCAATCATCTTCACAAATTACAAATGCATCATCAATATATGATATTTCAAAAACAATAAATACAAATAATCTTAATAAATTACCTTCAATACAATCAATAACACCAACAAAAAGTAAATTTTCATAAATTCTTTTTTAAATTTTATTATTATTTTATATATATATTCTAGTTACAACAAATAATGATCAATCATCTACAAAAAATTTTGATAATAAAAAACTTCTTCAAATGGTAATATATATATATAAATTTCAATAATCTAAAAAAAACACGAAAACTTTTATTTTATTAATAAGATTCGATAATATATCTATATGATACTCAAGATAGTGATTGTTTATATTATTATTAAGATCTCTGTGAATTTATTTACGAGAGAATATATCGAATGTAGTTCGATTTTGCATTATACCTACATGTATAGACTAGGATATATTCTCTTGTTAGTAAAGATATCCTATCCTGAAATGCTCAGATTTTTTGACGTTGATCTTACAGAGTTCGTGCTGAAAAACAATATGTTATCAATTCGACATTAAAAAAGGAAGAAGATTTTCATTTACAACTTCTCAAATTTGAAAAACGAAAAATCTTCCTGTGATTGAAAGAGAAGTTCAAAAATCAATTCGAAATAGTACAAATCATTGTTAAAAATTTTCTAACGAATAGTCTAGTTCTCCATACTAAAAACTGAACTTTCTATATGAAATGTTAATGTATGACATGACTTTTGGTGATTACTGAAAGTCAGTACTATGATATTCATGTTATCGTAATTAATTAAGTTTGATTAGATGTGATCTGTATGAGTCTATATATTAACTCATATAAGAAAAACTTATTAAAAAAAAGAATCAAAGTTAAATTGCTCTATTTTCTCTAATGTTACTCTCACACATTCAAAACTTAGGATGATAAAGTTTTGATTGCAGAGAAGTTTTTATAAGAGAATATTCTTCATTTTTGAATACTCTCTGACTTATAGGTACAGATTTACGAAACAAAAATGTATTGTCTATAAAACCATTTATTCATGATTGTAAAAATCTCTAGTTTGACTCAGAAACTACTTGTTTTTTTTTTATTCTAAATTGATATACTTTCTATTTTTTAGGTTGATGAAATTCAATCGAAATTAAAAACTCTACAAAGACCATTCTCTAAATTACCTGAACCAAGTAATAATCTTGATAAATCTTTAGAAACTTTAATAACAACACTTAATGATATGACAATATCACTTCAAGTAAATCTTTTTTGTTTTTTTTTTGTTCTTATATCAATTAAACAAAAATTTCTTCTTTTATAGACATCAATTCAATCAATAAAAACAATGACAAATGAACATATTGAATCTCTGACAAGAATTGAAAATGCTCGTCATCAAATAAGACTAAGTCAAAAAGAAAATCTTCATGATTTATTAAAAGATCGTGAACTTGATCCATGGACACAATTACGTCTTGATTCAATTAAAAATAAATATGATCAAATTAAACATAAGTTAAATGTCTTATTACAATTAACACATAAAACAATACATAATAAATCATTATCTATAAATAATGAGACGAATGATGATGATGATGATGATATTGAAAATGAGTTCGTTGAAAAAAAAAAAATAAATAAATAAATTTATTCTTATATTTTGTTTTTTTTTAGAGATTTTTTACCCGATTTAGAAATATTAAATACATCTCAAACAATGAAACAAGGAATTCAAAAACATTTACGTGAACTTAGTCATCAAGTATCGGAAACAGAAAAAGATCTACAAAATATTTGTGCAAAATTTAATAAAGATTTTTTGAATAGTAAACAATATGAGTATGATTAGTAAAATTTTTTTATTTTATTATTTTATATACTTTAATTTTGTTTTATTTAGTTCAAATTTAACAAAAACAACAATAATATCATCTAATAGATTATTTCATAAATTAGATTCAGAAATTTTATTACATTTACAAGCTAATCATCAAAATGTTAATGAAATTCATGTACCACAAACACCATTAATTCATTTTTCATCAATAAATGAATCAAAAAAATCTTCAACTATTGAAATATCTAAAACAATTACACCAATAACACCAATACAAACAAATTCTTCACCAACAATTGAATCTGAAAGTTTTAAAAATATGTTACGTATTGTTCGTGCATCCATTGATTTATATTCTGGTATAGCAAGTCCAGAACAATTACGTGAATTATCAAATAAAATATCAACTAGTCCATTATCATCATCATCATCAATACAAAAATCTCATACAATATCAATTAATAAAACTCCAACTATACCTAAAACAACTACAACAACAGTTCAATCAAAATCACCTATTGTAACAAAACCATTAAATACAACAATAACATCAACAAATATTTTACAAACACCAACAAAAACTGTTACTTCATCTATACCAAATATTGCTGTTACACCACCAACACCATTAGATATACAATCAAAAATTCAATCAAATAAAACACTTATTCAAACACCTACTGATCTATCAAAAACATCAGGTGATAGTGTTATACGGTCATTGCTTAATAATGCAGTAACATCTTCAACAACTATAACATCTAATACAAATCAACCAATAGTTAGTTCTACAGCAAATCAAATTAACAAATCAAATATTCCTAGTACAACAATTCCACAAGTAACAACAAATCAAACTCCAACAGTAGCAGCAGCAACAACAACAACAACAACATCTGTTCAACCAATATCTCCGTCAACCCCACCAATTACTTCCACTGGTGTAAGTTCATTTGGTTCAAGACCAATATTTAGTGGTAATACACTTAATTTAACACCTACTACATCATCGACTATTCCATTTGGTAATGTTACTACAACACCAACAAATAATATCGCATCACTATTTGGTAATACTTCTATTACAACAACATCTGCTCCAAGTTCATCCGGCATAACAACAACAACAACAACTTCTACTCCGTTTGGTGCCGGTTTCAGTACTCCTACAACTACAACTGCACCAACAGCAGCAGCCAGTACTGGTTTCTTTGGTACTGTAACAACTTCAGCTTCTACTCCATTTGGCACTGGATTCGGCACGGCTACTACTTCAGCTCCAACAACAGCAGCAGCATCCAGTACTGGCGCCTTTGGTACAGCAACAACTTCAGCTTCTTCTCCATTTGGTACCGGATTCGGTACACCTACTACTACAACAGCAACAACATCAGCATCGGGTACTAGTCCATTTGGTGCTGCAACGACAACACCATCAACTCATAGTCCGTTTGGTAGTGGATTTGGTGCTCCTCCTCCTACTACTACGACGATGACTGCACCAACATTAACATCTGGTACTAGCCTATTTAGTGCTGCACCAACAACATCAACATCCGGTACTAGTCTATTTGGTGGTTCACCAACATCAACTGCTGGTACATTTGGTAGTAGTCCGACAATAACATCACCATTTGGTAGTGGATTTGGTGCTACTTTGGCAGCATCCACCAGTACAACATTTAGTGGTTTTGGTGGTACTTCAGCAACACCAACATCGACATCGAATGCACCTGTATTTGGTAGTACTGGTTTTTCATTTAGTTCACCATTATCAGTCACTTCAACTGCTAAACCAACAACTGGTACTTCATTATTTGGTAGTGGTAGTGCTAGTAGTACGCCTGCATTTGGTAGTGGTTTTTCTGGTTTTGGTACACAAACAAGTTCATCTGGATCATCGACTGGTTTTACATTCGGTGGATTTGGTGGTGCTCAATCTGCAGACGCAACAACAACAGCATCATCTCCATTTGGTGGTTCACTATTTGGAGGAGCATCTGGACAAACAACTGGTTTTGGTAGTAAGTGATTGATGTTAGAAAAAAAATTTTTTTTTCATTTTATTATTCATATTTTAGCAACAGCACATTCATTTGGTGCTTCAAATACACAAACAGCAACGTCACCTTCATTTACAACTTATCGTAAATAGGACAATCAAGATACAATTATGCATATATATTTTTTTTTTGTTTCTTTTTTCTTTGTCATATCTGTAACTAAAGAATTTCTCTGTCATACACATATTATTAATTTTTCTTTTCTCTCTTTTTTTTTTTTTGAAACGATGACAAAAACAAACTCTATGTGTGTGCGCATCTAATAAAGAAGAATAAATATGTGATGTAAAAGTTATAAAGAAAACAAAAAAAAAGTATGTAGGTTGAGAGTAGTCTGAATTGAGTTCTGATCATAGAAGAATGATCATCTTACTCATTGAACTTCATGTTGCTGACCACAGGCTTTCACAACTTTCTCTATGATAAGAGCATCTCAACATAAGTTGATCTTGTACTCGAATATAACCATAGAGAAAAGTAACTTCACACCGGAAGCTTTCTGATCACCTGCCATACGTTAAACGCATGGAACCCTGCTAGAGTCTCGATTGGTCTTTATCTCAGACCTTCCCAAGGATAAATATTAAAGAGTGACATTAAATTGCACTCGTATGTAATCCCTGTAAGTAAGCTTCAACCCACATACACAAGTTTTACTATTCTATATGTGCACCTTATATATTGAAACATATTTATACATAGAAAAAGAACGGTGAATAATGAAAATTCTTCGATAATGAGTGACATCTTTTTTTTGTTTTTTATTTAATGTCGCTATGATTTAACATTTTATATAAATATATCAAATGAATGAAAACGAATTATGAATTAGAGAAGAATGAATTTATTTATTGTTGATTTGACTTTTAAAGCTCTAATTAATTCTTAAATATTGTGACATTTTAATGATATTAAAAGGTTTTTTTTTTTAGAAAATAACAGATAGATCTTTTTACTTCATAATCTTAAAAAGTTGAGTTGTAACTGGTAATGATAAACTTGCATATCAAAAGCTTTTTATTAATATCGAAAATGATTATTTTGGTATGATCCTATGTTATTTAAGAAAAAAATCAATCATTTTTCGATTATTTTATGTGTTACTTTTTGAAAGTGTTGTAACATTTAAATAAAATATTGAACAATGCAACCAATAAATATTATGATGAATACAAATTGAAAATCTCACTAAAATGATCGATTCTGAAATAACAATTGTAGCATTTATAGTATCTAAAAGAGTATTCAATTGATAGTGAAATCAAAAAAAAAAATGGCTAAATATTAAAAATATACGAAATCTTTTTTTTTGCTAAACATTACTTTTTCTTGATCAGCTATTCAAAAAGTAAAAAGTGTACTAAACTTTTTTTTTTCTCACGTTAGATCAACTATACAATATTCATGTCTGAAGACTGTTTAAATTAAGATAAAATTCATAGTCTTATGAAGTTTTCTGTCCATCAATCGATACTCCGAAAGAGAAAACATATGAAAATACATAGTTAGAAGTACAATAAGCATGAAACAGTACTTTTTTGTATTTACAACCATTACTGTAGTGATTAGAAGAAAGACATGACTAATTCAGAAGTTGATTTAAATATTGTTATAGAAGCAGAAAAACGAAGAATGACTCATGCTGTTATATCAGCCTGTCCAAAAAAAACCGAATTCTTTTGAGTGTCATCGAAAATTATTTGTAATCATATGATACATTGATTTGTAAAACTAACAGAGAAAATTCAAATCTAAATCTATTCAAATTATTTGAATAGATATCAATCTAAATCAGTTTTACACAATGTATTCTAAGAAAAATCGATATGTATATATGTAAAATTGTTTTCGCTTATAATAAATGCTTTCTTATTTATGAATAACTATTAATTACTTTATAAATTATAATTTACCGTCTATGAGAGCCATCTATAATGAAATTATTTTAAAGTTTCATTTGATTTGTTACTGGTGACAAGTAATTCAATGCGTGCATGTAGCCGAATGAATGAATCAAAGTCAATTATAGAAAAAGAACCGATGTTTCGGTTTCGTTTTTTATGTTGTTTCTTGAAAGAGAGAAGAACAAAAAAAAAAAGAAGAAAGACCTTGTTATAAATTTTAGATGACTGAAGTTCATTCCTTTGGCAATCTACCTGTAATTGCTCATGCTTGGAATAAAGATCGAACACGTATATTATTTTCTTTTTTTTAAATCATTTTATTCGAAAAAATTCAATATAATTTTTATAGAAATAGCCGTATCATTAGGTAAAAATGATGTTCGTATTTATCAAAAACACGCTGGTAAATGGCGACATATTCATACATTATCTGATCATTTATCTCGTGTATTAGCAATTGATTGGGCACCTACAACTAATCGAATTGTATCAGCTAGTGCTGTAAGATATTAATAATTATGATTTATTTTATTTATCGTTTTTTTTAATATACTAAGGATTATAATGCTTATGTTTGGACATTTGAAAATAATATATGGAAACAACAAATGGTTGAATTACAACGAACAAGTCGAGCTGTTTGTTGTGTTAAATGGTCACCGAATGGTAAAATTTAATTTAATAAAATAATTTCAAAAAAAAATCATATTTTTTTTTTTATTTAATTTTTAGAAAATAAATTTGCTATTGGTTCAAGTGATAAAAATGTTGGTATATGTTATTATGAAACAGAACAAAGATTTTGGGCAGCTGAAATGATTAAAAAAAAACCAAAATCAACTGTAACTTGTATTGCATGGCATCCAAATAATCAATTAATTGTTGCTGGTAGTTGTGATTATCGTGTACGAATTTATTCAGCATATATAAAAGCTGTTGATGGTCAACCACAAATATCTAATTGGGGAATAATTTCAAATACAGGAGATCTTTTACATGAATTTCAATCTGGTAAATAAATTTTTTTTTGTTTTTTAAGATATTTATTAGAAAATATTTAGAATCAGGTTGGATTCATGATGTAGCTTTTTCACCATTAGGTGAAAATCTTGCATGGGTATCACATAATTCAATTATATTTGCTGTTTCAGCAAAAAATTCATCTCGGTTAGTTTTTATTTTAAGTTTCAAAAAACAAATTTGTAAGATGAATTTTTTTTGTTTTTAGAATAACAATGGAAATTACTAATTATCTACCATTTCGTTGCATTATTTTTGTTAGTGAATCAACGTTAATTGTTGCAGTATGAATTAGAACCCCCCTGAAAGAAAAAGATTGCTTTATAATTTTATTGATTTTTATTTTTAGGGTCATGAATTTTCTCCATTAATTTATAATTATGATGAACGAAAAGGTACAATTGATTTTGTGGAAAAACTTGATCAACAAGAAACATCAATTGGAAAACAAGCTATTAAGTTAGTATTTTATATTTAATATTTTCTTTTCTTATTTATTAATTTTTATATACAGAGAAGAAAGTGAATTTATTACGCCATCTCAGGCAGCGTATGAAGAATAAAAGAGTGTGTTTGCAGTGGTCTTTTTTTTTGTGCATGACTATTACAGATTTGCATTTTGGTTTTTTTTTGCTAAATTTTCCATTTCGTGTGTTATGCATCCATTTATATATATAATTAGTTGTGTAACTAGATGAGAACGCAGCCATCTCTCTCTTCCGATAAAGGAACATTTTTAATTGTTCGATCGGCCATGATAAATTGTAAAAAGATTTGTTACGTTCAATTGTGAACATTTTATTCAGTTTTTTGCTCTATGAACATAAGATTGATTGAGAGTCTCGATGATCGAATTTCAAGCATAGATACATCGCATCCTTTTTCTAAGACGCACGCATAAAATGTAAATATAGATATTGTGGTTATAGTATTAATTTTCATTTTTGAAAATCAGGAAGTAAGAGAGATCGGTCTGAATAATAAACGAAATTAATTCAACAGAGAACGGAGTTACTAGCAAATGTAAAATATGATTTGTTGATGATGTAGACATGCTGATGAGGAGAGCATATCAGTTCCAGAGGTGCAGAATCTTCCAAAAATCCAAAAATTCCCCCCACGCAAAAAAGTTTTTTGAAAAATTTCCCCACTGTATTTTTTTTTGGCCAGCGGGTTTTTCCAAAATTTCCCTATTATTTGAGTTTTTCAAAAAATCCCCCCCTAGCGCGGGGGCGCATGAGGAAGATTCTGCACCTCTGATCAGTTCCCTACTTTGTCTATGAATAGAGTCTAGTGGAATTAAGAAAGTCATAAAAGAGCTGTCTCAAGCATCATTCAACTAGAGTTATGACTGTTTCACTAGATTTTTGACCTTTGAGATAAGTATGTATGGAAAACTCAATTAGAACATTTTCAATCTGAAATGATGATACCGAATGACTAAAAGGATATTCTAGTAGCGGTAAGATCTATGTATGGGAAAAAATTTCGTCACTGAGCTTTTCATGTGTTGGTGACGTCGAGACTCAGTATTTACTAAATTGGTCATCACTCTTACTGAATGACGGATTGGTATGAATTCATTTAGAATTTTCTTAATTACACTGAGTCCCGTGGATAGCTAAAATATGGGATCGAACGGCATTCGACAATACAATATGTTCCCTTTTGAGATATTCGAATTTTAAAGTACTTACAATATATGCGCATTGAATTAGTCCTAAATTAAATATTTACGGAACCAAAATCACAAACAAAAGAAGTTGTTGAGGTCGGTATCTGAGAGTTGATCTTGCTAAAATTTTGAATTCTTAGCATATAGTATCTACAATAAATACTTTAATATGTGAATATTTGCATGTCATCAGCACTTTATATTTAATGTAATACTAATATATTCAATGTCCTTGAATTACTATACATATAAATTCTTATAAAAAACATCGATCTAACTTTCGAAAGACTGATTATACGAATAGTTTGCTGATGGTATACAGAAGTTTTGTTTTTTTTTTCTGTTGGAAAATATGACCTTGATATAAAATTTTTATTGTATGCATTTAATTTTGTTTTTATTAGTCGTCTTTTTGATCAACCATCAATGCAAACTCAAACACCCGAGCCTATATCGACTCATCAAAGCATGATAACGTAAGATAGTCTTCTAT